GGACTCAACACAGAGGACAGGATTAAACGGTTTCCCACAGTGCTAAGTATAAGATATCACCATATTAGGTTAGCTAATAATGAACGCATACTGGCTTTCTTTGGGGGTGATGAAAGTTGCTAGAATCAGATAGCGGTAATGGTTGCACAACATATACACACAACAAACTCCATGAAATTATATTGATAAAAATGATGACTTTCATGTTGTTCAAATTTTGCCTCATAAAAACTATATAATATCAAAGGAAACCTTGTAATACAGCTTGCAAATTTGTACTTATATATTATACATGTATTATATTACTATCCACAAATACCTACACTCGCCAAACTGCTACAGCTTTCACAATAGTGTCAAGTTGTAAGTCAATGCTGAGGCTGGGATTAATAAAACAAATTCCAAAACATAAATCGCTGAAATCAAGAATTAGTTATTCTTTTACTTCTTCAATTATTAATTTATATATTGCCTGCTTCCTTGGTAGCAGGCACGTTAGCTACAATAGATATAGGGGGTGAGGGCCAGGAACGATGGCCTAGCGGCTAAATCCTCACCTTGCATCCACTGCGAACCCATATGGGCATTGGTTCATGTCCCAGCTGCTCCACTTCCCATCCAACTCCCTGATTGTGGTCTGGGAAAGCAGTCAAGGATTATACAAAGCCTTGGGACCCTGCACCTGTGTTAGGAGACCCAGAGGAAGTTTCTGGCTCCTGGCTTTGGATTGGTTAAGTTCCTGCCATCATGAATGGAAGATCTTTCTGTCTCTCTTTGTATATCTGCCTTTCCAATAAAAATAAATAAATTTTCAAAAAACATATCCCTGAAACACAGTAACCATAAGGAACGTAAAGGGAAAATGCATGGTTCTATGATAAACTATACCAGGTGAATCTGATTTAGACAGGTTAATTAGGCAAGAGCCTCTTTGAGAACATTACTTATAGTTTGAAACTAAAGAGAGGAAAAATTTAATCAGATCAGGACAGGGGACTGATATTCCCCACTGGCAATCTTCTGGAGAATGGCCTGTGGCAGAAAGCGACCTGCCACCTCTGAGACACCAAGGCCAACTGTGAGCAGAGAGATGGTGAAGAGACTCATCCAATGAGGCAGGAGAGAAACAAAGGGATTTGGTCCACTCTTGCCCTTACAAATCATGTGGGACTTTCGTTTTATTTCTGACATACACAGGGAAAGTACTAAAAATCTTAGCAGGACATTAGCGTGACCCATTTATGGCACAAACATAAAAACCCGCCCCCTGCAGAATAGCAATTAAAAAGTAGGAGACTAAATCAATGAATCAGTTCAGAGTCCACTCAAAAGAATGGCTCAGAGCAGCAAGTGGGAGTGAAAAGAGGACATATTCAGGGGCTGCTTTGGAGTTTGAGGGGAAGATGCCTTCCAGAAAGGCCATCCAGACAAAGTAGAGGATACATCACACACATTAGCCTTACTTGCTAAAAGATCAAATCCTTAAAATGCTTCAAGCTACTTCTTGGAGTCCTGAAGTTTTGTCATGCAACTAAGCAGTACCTGAACCCAAATTATTCCTGGTTATCAACAAGTTTTCTGGCAGTTAAAGGACTTTAGACAGAAAAATGGAAACCGGTGACACTTGGTGTCTTCCCTTCAATCTGCACAGTAGCTTGCCCTTGGAACATTTTGTTTTTCTTACAGAGGAACCGTTCTGGAATAGAAGCATCTTTTTTTGTATATACTATAGTAAAGGCTGGAATTACACACACACACATCATAAGAAACATGTGTTAAGTATCCCAGATTCTTGACATGCATCTGTCTCCTTCAAAAGCACTCCAGGGAATAAAGCAGAAGAGGGGCTGTGATGGACGCACACAAAGAGTAAATAAACGCCTTTGATTGGAATAGGAAAGCAACAGTACATCACATATGCAGTCCTTTCTTTTCCTCTTAAAACACCGGAGCCCATATGGTCAAATATACCGTCTTTTGCCTCACTCCTTACTAATGCCAGAGATGAAAGCAGGAAATCAAAGGAAACCTACTCCTCCAGACTTCTTCTCTCCCTAGAATTTAGCAGAGGCACATGGCAAAAAATGTGGCCAGCAACTATTATCAGTTCCACAGCACGTGCGAGATAGTTGTCATATGCACTTTCATCCAGACTGCAGAAACTACAGGAGGATGCTAACCTTGGATCACTTCTTTTTCTCAATGCCACTGTGCTCAGCCTTTCTGGAGGCTGCAGGAACCTGTTACCCAACTCCAACCATGCTGTTTCTCAAAGGTTCCTGGCACTCCAAGATTCCTTCCCCTTAGAGCCTCAGCTCTTCTAGAAAGACCTCCCCAGTCCCTTCATGCTACAGCTGATCCTCTGACCAGTCTCCCGCCATGCCACTGTCCCTGCACAGATCCCTAATGGACATATGGATGACTCTACTCTCTGTAGACTCTAGCTGCTTGGAGGCCAAGATCCAGCACAAGTGAGAGCCTCAAACGGATGAGCAAGGAAATGAGCAGATAAATTCATTGACCCCACCCAACATTCTGCATTTAAATTTTTCTTTTGAATATTGTTTACATAGTTGAAATGGATGCATGCCCATGTGCGCTTCCAATTAGGGTGGGGAGCATCAGGCATGGAGGCAGGAGGGTGGACACGTGGTTTCAGGGAGGAGGAGGAGGAGCAGACAGCTCTGACAAACTACATCAGTACCCAGTGATGGGGGATGGTCCTTTAATGACACTTTAGAGATCCCAATGTGGGGAAGAACAAGGGCATTACATGAGTGGTTTTGATAGCCCTGAAATCTTGGTTTCATTGCTCCAGAATTGAGAAAATTTCTCCAAAGTCTACTACTTGACAGTGCATCCACAGACCCAGGAACATGCTGCAAAGTTTGGACTGGTGAAGCATCCAACCTGCTCTGCTTTCCATACTCTGACGAGGCAGCCAACATCCCCTGCTGGCCTAGATGAGCTGGACATCATGTCCTTCATGTGCAATGGGACATACTGTCCACTGCACAGGCATCAGTAAATAAAGAGGCTCAGTCCCAATACATGCACTCCAAGGCTGGACCACACATCCTGTGACTTCCCACGTGGCAGGGTCTGAGTCCAGTGGCCAAATATGGGAGTCCCCCAAGAAGCCTCACCTCACCTGGGGTGACCTCAGTCTTACCTCTTTAGTGCACCAGCCAGTGCAGGGTCAGGTGTGGTCTGCCACTTGCATCAGCCAATGCACATATTGGTGAATGTAGCTTCATCAGTTCCACTTTAGCCCCGTATCTCACACAAAACAACGGGTGCCACGGCCCAGCCCAGCCTATCCCCTACAGCATTCTGGTACAAGCCCTCCAACCAGTGATCCATTTCTGCTAAGACTTGACTGCTCCCTCCTTCTTCCCATTTCCAGATGCCAGGGGGCTTCTGAAACACCATACAGCTTAGAGGGCATTGTGACTGAGAACACCATCCATTGCTCAGGGTTTCCCTGCATGACTTGGGCTGTGCTGAAAGGCAGACAACAAAAGGCCTTTACCCCTCCTAATTTATTTTCTAGAAGAAAGAGACACTTGGTATCATGCCGCTGGTTCCTTCCTGACACAACAGATATCATTTTTATAAAAAGTTCCCTCCCTCAAGAAAAAAGGAAGCCTTTGGCAAGGGCCAAAGGAGATCATGACGTACACCTGTCATTCTGAAAGTCAGTTATTTAGCACCACCTATACCCTAAGAGCCCTTAGCCACCTAGCTTGTGGTTTACAATACTGCCTTCCAAGTTCACCATTTGCTGATAATGGGGCAACAATTTACGTTGATAGTGCCCAACCAGCATAATTTAAATGTATTGTTGGAGCATACATCCTCCAGCAAAGGAAACGAGTTACTCTTCCACTGATATGAATAAATTTTAAAACTGCACGGACAAAGAAATATTCGAGTACCATTCCAGAATTTAGCAGCAAATTCTTATTCCTGCTGGAAATAAAGCAATTATCTTCCTGCCTCCCCCAAGAGGTGGGGTAGGATCTAGAGGCCACCTGTGCCCTGACTCCCCACACGTGGACTGAAAACTCACTTCATCTGGGACTGAGATTTCCAGCACAAGATCATCCTGGAAGCCAGCAGCTGTGTTGGCAGTAACAAGAAGCAGCTGGCAGGATGTTAACACATACGTACGCCAGCTAGTTTACGGTCGTTATCGGACAGGAATGGCGAACGTCATCTTCATTTTAAATTATAGTATCAGGACAACTCTGATGTGATACTGCAGTCAACCTTTACGTGTCATTTCAACACCAGGGCTGAGCGACAGTGTGGCAAAACCTGATGCAGATTCAGGCACACCAGTAGATGAATCTACACGCTGCGTCCTTCTCCCCAGAGACCAAAACAGCCTGGACAAGGCAAAAACGCACCATCACTGAACAACCTACGGCAGTATTCACGGCTCATTCAGTGTCCAGTCCCTAGAAGATGCTGGCTTGAGGAAACGCGAATCTCAAGCATCCGAGCCCCCAATCCAACAAGCTTCCCGTACATTCAACCATCTCCACACCCAAGGAGACGGTTTCCTCACACCTGTCATGGAAAGGTTGGCTTGCCTCTCAACTGCCTAGAGCAGCCAACAGCTGAAAGAAAAAAAAAATCTTAAATTCAATTAGCCTGGTGCGAACGCAGCGCAAGCTGTGAATAACTCAGCCAACAACTGGGGAGCCCTCCTAAGTCCACACCTATGTCCGCCCCGCAGCGCCAAGGTCGAGAGGTCACATCTCACAAGAGGCCAGGCCTGGCCTGGGAAGCAGCAGAAGAAACCCCAACCTTGCCCACGACCCGAAGGATGCTCAGGCTCTGCTCCGCCCTCGGTCGCGGTCCAGGCTCCGCCAGCTCCCCACACGGAGACTTCGAGCCCTCTCCCCGCTCTCTCGGTCCCGGCCCTGGCGTGCGTTTAGCATCCCTTTGGCACCTCCTCCTCTCCCGGCCCTCCGCGCTCTCCAGCCACCAACCTTGGGCGTGCGGATGTGCTCCATGGCGGGCCTGCCACTGCAGGATCCTCGGTGGGCGCGGCCCGGAACCTGCGCGCGTCTGCGTGTGAGGAGGGGGCTTCGCCGGGGCCTCGGGACGGGCGGGGAGCTGGCTCCGCCTCCAGGTGCGGCTGCGCGGGCGCCCGTCGGCGGGCCGGGGATGCTGGGAACCCAGGCGCCCGCGCGGCCCTAGAGCGCGGCCCGGCGCCGGCTCCCACCTGCTCCAGCTGCCTTGGCCCACCTTGTCTCTGGCTGGAGTCTCCGGAGTAAGGTGCGGTCAGTGCAGTATTGTAGGGCTACTCGCCCTGTGTTGGGTGTGGCCTCTTGGTGCAGAGATGGGATATTAGAGATGCTGCATACCTGTGTTCTGGCTCCCGCTCAGGACGTTACGGGACGGGTGGGGGTTCAGAGTGGGACACATATACACAGAAAGGTTGCCACGTGCATTCCACATGCGGTGGTCCTGACAGGCTTTATCGGGGTACCTAAGCACCTTCATGGCATACGGGACCAGGTCGGATATCCTAGCAACAGGTACTGATGTTAAGTCAGCTCCTCCTATGAACTTGGGACTTCACTGTTGGAACTGTAGGAAGAGCTGTCTGTCAGGGTGTAATCACTGGTGATCTTAGCTTCAACTAAACAGGAAGACTGATTTCACAGTATATCATATTCCCATTTACCAGAATAAGACTTGTTGCTGTTAGATTTGCTGATGACCTGAGAAAAGAAAACATCAGCCAATTGTGGAAAAAAAAAAAAAAAAAAAAAAGATGCACAGAGGCTTTTATTAGGGATCTTCCCTCGGGCCTTTACCCAAGCAGCAGGAAAGAGAAGGGAGAAAGAGAGATCTGGGGAGCTGCAAGGGAGCAAAGGCAGGCAGAGGGACCTGCGGGAGGGTTTTATACCCTTTCCAACACCGAAGTAAGTCCTGACCAGCTGTGTGGCTCCCGCGGCCCATTCTGGTTCCTGAAGTAAGCCCAGCCCCTCTCCTGCACCCGCGGCAGCCAACAGTTACTACTGTTAATATGAGGCCATTGGGAAAAGTCATAGAAGAAACACCCACCACCCTTTTTTCCTGCAGCCCTTGGTATGTAAATGCTCCCAATATTACTAAATTGTCAAAGAACTGGACAGATTTCTTGGGAAAACGTTCCAGCCTCATTCTTTGCTTTTATACATGTTTCTGAATGGATTGTAAAGTCTTTGATCAAGGAGATGCTCTGTGTGTGTGTAGGTGGAAAGTTGTTTTCAATAATTTTGTCCAGCATTTGTTAGGCACAGTAAAAACCTTCCAGAAAGATGTGTCATGACTCCAGTGTTGAATTTATTTTAAAACTTCCAGATCCCTTCACATACGTTACATGATTTAATCTTCTGGCTCTGGGAGGCAACTGGACCAAATCTATGAACCATTGTATGCATATAAGAAAACGTATTCGATGTATAGTTTCTGCTTGGCTCAAGAACACCGAGCATGCAGTCACCAATCCTCTGGTCCCAGTCACCAGTACTCTGCCTTGGGTGTGGGCAGGGGTGGGATAGGAGTGAAGGGGAGGTGTGCAGGTTCTGATTGAAGAATCAGGATTACATTCAGTTTGGAGGGTTTCCCATTCCAACAGTGTCCGATTGCTAGACTCCACACGTTTTTCTCTTTGTGCATCTTCGCGACCCAAGCTGAACCTATAGCAACTTCGTTCAGTGCCAACCCTAAACCAGGAGTCCTCTCCCATTCTGTTCAGTCCCTCTTGTTGCCAAAGCCACTCTATGATTGTCACTGTGCTGACGTCTCACGGTAGTTACGACCAGCAGTGCTGAGACTATGCACAGCATGTTTATGCTTAGTGGTTGTGAGAGTGCTACTCTGCCACAGCAACCCAGTGTCACATATCTGGTCAATGCAGACATGTGGGTGAAGTGACAGCTAAGACATTCTCATCAGGCTCACTATGGTTTGTCTACAGCAGAGTTTCTAGGGACATCAGGGTGTTAAATAATTGTGGTTCCAGGCCCAGCACTATGGCTCAATTGGCCAATCTTCCCCTTTCAAGGGCTGGTTTAATAGCACTGGTTCATGTCCTGGCTGCTCTACTTCCCATCCTGCTCCCTGGTTATGACATGGGAAAGCAGCAGAGGATGGCCCAAAGCCTTGGGATCCTGCACTCAATATGGGAGACCTGGACAAGGCTCCTGGTTCCTGGCTTCATGTCACCTCAGCTTTGGCTGTTGCAGCCACCTGGGTAGTGAACCGAAGGACAGAAGATCTTTTTCTCTATCCTTCTCTCTGTAAATCTGCCTTACCAATAAAAATAATTTTTTAAATTATGATATCTATTCATTCACGTTGCCATTCCCATTTCCTACAAGGTGCCAGAATGGAATGCATTCTGACATCAGTGAGTGCACTGGATCGGAGCCAGCATTCTCTGCCATCAGACCTTGGTGCTGGGATCTGCCTCTTGTTCAGTCTCGCTGGCAGCTGTGATGGTTTTCTCTCCCCATCTGGTTGGAGTATTGTGCACTCAAGGAGCAGGAGAGTGTTTAGCCTACACCACAAACTCATCATACTTCAAACATTTAAAAATATATTTTTTTCTGTTTGAAGTTCACATGTAAAATCAGGAAGCTCAAGTGACAATACTTGTTTTTCTGCAGGATCCCTGGAGGAGACAGGATTTTACCCAACCGAAAAGATATAGAGGCATCAGAGTCTCAAGTCAAATTTTGCCAGAAATATTTGCATTGCGTATGCTAATATGTAGGAAAAACATGCCTTTTATAAAAAGTCATTTCAAATAAAAATATAAATCAAGTCACAGTGTCTCAAAAAGCAATGGTGAAGAATAAATTTTTAAACAAAACGTGTGCTTTTAAGAGTATACTTAGATTTATTATTATTTGTGAAGCAGAAATACAGAGATAGACAAACAGTTTCCACTCACTGGCTTCCTCCTAAACATTGTAAGACAAGGACTGAGCTGAAATGAAGCCTGGAAACTGAAAACTCAATTCAGGACTCCATGTGGGTGGCAGGGACCCAGTTACTCAGCCATCACCTGCTCCACCTCAAGATTTGTATTAGCAGAAAGCTGGGGTGCAGAACTGGGCCTTGAACCTAAGCATTGACACTCTACCCAGGTGTCTTAAGTGCTAAGCCAAACACCTGCCTGCTAAGGGCACACTTTCTAAAATTTCAATTCAAAATTAATCATTCTGAAGGGTAACCATGTTTCAAGGATAGATACCAAGCATATTTTCCACAAGAAAACAGCAAAAGTAAATACTTCAAAAGTGTAACAATTGAGGAGAAGGGGGAGGAGGACATTCCCACCTGACTTGTTGGGAACTTAGCAATGCTGCTTTTATAGCAAAAGGGAGGATGAAAGGATTTTTCTGTTAAGCCCAATCAGGCTTAAAGGAATGTTCTGTGATACCTTAGAGCCAAAATTCTAGAAAAGTTACTTAACTCATCATTAATTTAGCAATAAGTTTAAAAATGCATCTTTGGTCTTAAGGAAAAAAAAATAGATTATATATGATTAAGACAACATCATCTTAATGTTCTTCATTTTCATTTAATATGCTAACTATTGGTACAATATGTATGAATATGGTTCTTAACACTAGAAAAATTTGGGATTTTTAGTAAACTGATGGAAGATATTTTCTTGGTTTATGTCACAGTTTATTGTGGCTATAAGGAATAGTTTCAGATGCTGACTCTGCAAGAAAACCCTTTTCTTCTCTGGTGGAGAGAATATTTCTATAAACAAAAACAATGAACAAGATTTGATCAAAAAAGTGAAATAAAACGATTCTATCTGAATCTAATGTGCTGAGCACCACCTATGTTTACATTTGGATTTGGCACTCATTATTAAATGATTAGAAATAAAGGCATTTTCAAAGTGTTTTATATTAATTTTAGAGACAAGGAGAGACCTTGCATCCACTGGTTTATTTCTGAAAGCCTGGACGCATGCTGGGAGCCAGGAACTAAGTCTGTGTCCCATATGAATGATAATAATCCAGTTCCTTGAGCCATGATCGCTTCTTCCAGGTCCTGAATTAGCAGGAGGTGGTTGCCTGGATTGGACTCAAGAGCTCTGATGCAGAATGTGATGGCCATCTTAACTGCTGGGCTAAACATCCACTCCTATAAAAATAATGGTAAAGAATGTGAACATAGCACAAAAAAGAAATCCCATTATTTTCAGTATTTTATTCCTGATCATAATGACAGTTTGAGGAATAATCAATGCTACACATAGAAAGTTTCTCCCAAAATTAACATGCTGGAATCTTAACCTGCAATGCAACAGTGCCCAATCCTTGAAGGTGTATTTGTGCCATGAGAGTACTGGTCTAATGAATGGAGTCACGGATCACATGAATTGGATCTTTCTCCCCTATACTTCTGCCACGAGAACACAACGTTCCTCTGTTTCAGAACTTGCAACATCCAAAACATCCATCATCTTAGCAGCATGGAATTTTGGTTCTAACCTGCCAAAATGTTGGTCATTGATGCTCCAGTGTACAGACCCATAGGTGGATAAATGTGTATTCCTCATGAATTACTCTTTGGCATTCTGTTGTAACAGCACAAAACAAACTGAATCACATTCCAAAAGTTACATGGCTAAATTTCTGGGCTACTGGAAACAATGGCCCAGAAAACTACTTACATTGTCTCTAACTGAAACTTGTATTACTATGTCTACATCAAAATGCTGCCAGAGGAGAGCAAAGATGGCATAATAGAGTAAGGACAGGTTTAAACAAATGGAGAATCACTAGCAAAGGTGAAGCGGAGAAGGCACAATCCTGGGAAACAGGAGAGGATGGGCCCAGAGCAGAGGGACACCTGGAGAGCTGTGGACGGGGGAAGCAGCAGAAATAGCACAGCAGTGTTGCAGTGACCAGATACTCCGGCATCAATCAGCGCTGGGAGCTCCAAAGGCAACCAGGTGAGAAGGTGTGCTCACAAGGAACTCAGGAGGTGAACCCAGGCATAAAACTGCCCACCCTACTGCTTTGTTTAATCTGATCACAAGCAGAAGCAAA